CTTGTGGCAGGTGACTCACCAAACGGGGAGGCAATGGCTGAATGGAGACTGTTTAAAAAAACAAAGCAAAAGAAAAAAATTCCGTCCTTGGACCGATCTGCTCAACATGAGGAGTATCAGGGAATCTAACATTCTCTTGGCTGTCCTAGAAATAGCTCTGAGGGGGCTGGAGAGATAACAGCTCTGAGGGGGCTGGAGAGATGGATCAGTGGTTAAAAGCACTGGCTGCTCTTCCAGAGGTCCTGAGTTCAATTCCCAGCAACCACATGGTGGCTCACAACCATCCATAATGAGATCTGGTGCCCTCTTCTGGCCTGCAGGTGTATATGCAGACAGAACACTGTATACATAATAAATAAATCTTAAAAAAAAAAAAGGGGGGGGGCGCCTGGAGAGATGGCTCAGAGGTCAAGAGCACTGACTGCTCTTCCAGAGGTCCTGAGTTCAATTCCCAGAAACCACAGGGTGGCTCACAGCCATCTGTGATGAGATCTGGCGCCCTCTTCTGGCCTGCAGTCATACATGCTGTATACATAATAAATAAATAAATCTATTAAATAAATAAATACATCTTAAAAAAAAGAAAGAAATGACTCTGTAGACCTGCCTCTGCCTCCTGAGTGCTGACATTAAAGGTGTGTGCTACCACCCCCCAGCTAACAGCAAGCTTCCTGATAAGAAATGTTGAAAGTGCCTTGGGCCTACCTCAGCCAGGGTCTGTGTTGATGTCTGTGGCTCCTGATACCATTAAAGGCCATGCTGATGTCAGGAGTCTGAGCCACCACCTGGGACCATGTCAGTGTCCAAGGACCATGCTGCCGTGGGGGCCATGCTGCCTGAGTGGCCTGTACTGCCACCTGGGGCCATGGTGACATCTGGGTCCCATGGTGATGAACACCATGTCTGGGTCCATGGTCCTATCACAGCCAGGGTCTGTTTTGATGTCCATGGCCCATGGTAACACCAAAGACCACATGGATGCCCAGGGTCTAGGCCATAATCTGAGGCCGTATTGGTGCCTGAGGGCTGTGCTGTCGCCTGGTCCCTGCCGATCTGGGTAGCCTGTGCTGTTACATGGGGCCATGGTGTCATCTGGGCATGGACTACTACCTAGGGCCATGTCTGGGTCCATGACCCTCCCCCCCAGCAGCAGCAGCAAGGGTCTGAATTGATGTCCCCGGCTCCTGTTACCACCAAGACCTGTGCAGATGCCTGGGGTCTGGTCAGCCACCTGAGACCATGTTGGTATCCGAGGGCCTTGCTGCCACCAGGGCCATACTGATCTGGGTGCCCTGTGCTGCCACTGGGGCCATGGTGACATCCAGGCATGGCTGCTGCCGAGGGCCATGTCTGGGTCTGTGTTCTTGCCGTGTTCTTGGGGTCTGTGATGAGGTCCATGGCCCATGTTGCCACAGGGTCATAGGAACCAGGGGTGTTGAAATCCGAGGGCCATGCTGAGCTGGCCTTGCCCCTTGCTGGCTCTGGGGTATCTGGCCCTGCTCCTTGCTGGACACCGCAGCAGGAGAGCAAGTCCCACCCCCCCCCATGGGAGAGCTGGACACCCCTCTCCCCACTCAGGCAAGATGGACCCACTCTTCACCATGGTTGTGGGAGAGCTGGCCCCGATGACATGGGCCTAGTATGACTCTGCCCCTTACCTGAGGGGGACAGTCCTAGTGGCTCAGACCTACCAGTTCAGCTACCACCCAGACCCACATCCTGGACCTTGGGTTAGGCCACCCTAACATCTACCCCATCTGTGACCTGCTGGAGTGGGTGACCGAACAATAATGGCAGGATCTCCATGACTTGGGGACAACAGCAGACTATCCGAGAGGCGTTTCAGTGAGGGTCCGTGAAGATGATGTGACAGAGGCCTTGAACCAGACCAAGGAGATGAACGTTTTGTGAATGGGACTATTGGACAAAAGGGTATGCTGTGTGACACACTGCAGCTCCCAGGGCCACTAGGGTGAATGAAGAGGTGTTGGAAAGACAGAGCAGCAAGGTGGGTTTGTCATCGTCGTTGTTTGTTTTGTTTTGAATTGATTTTGGGAGGTTTTCTTTGAGGGGATGCTGCAGGGGTGAGGGGAGGATGTGGAGGGACTGGGAGCTGAGCAGGATTGGGGTGCATGATGTGAAACTCCCAAAGGACCAATGAAGAATTATGGTACCTATAAAAAAGAAATATTGAAAGTGCCTAGCCTAGATTTCTTTTTAAAAATGTAAAGGTACACATCTTTGAATATGTGTCACATAGTGTGTGTGAGTGTTACCAGGAACAAGAAAGATTGACCAGAGTTCAGTCCCCCGGACCCCACGTGGCAGGAGAGAACAAGCCCCTGCGAGAGTTGTCCTCTGACCATCCCCCCCCCACACCACAACCAGGTGTCCCTCCCACAGATCAGAAGCACTTCAAGGGCTGCCGTCTCCCCTGCCCCAGGCTGGATTTCCACAGGTGGAAACAAGGCCTCAAATGCGTGACTATTATGCGAAGGTCCAGCCTGAAATTATTCTAAGATTACAAAAAAGCTTCCAGTGTTTGACTGGCTCCCCTTACCGGTCTTGCGTAGACGACCAACGTACAGCGATCAAAGCCGGGGAATTAACGTTTATAAATTCTGTCAGCTGGTCTCTTTGCCTTTTCCAAGCTTCCCCGGCTGTTGCACTGTTCTCTTTTGTAAGCCTCTTGATGTGCGGTGAGCTAGTACCACACTTCGCATTGTCTTACCTCCTCGGTCTCACGTAACCCCGGGGCCTTCTCTTGTCTCCCACGGCTCTCACACTTCCCAGTACTCATGTGCTTTGCGGAATGTCGCTCAGTTTGAGTCTGCCTGCTTCTCCCTGGTTTGGATTTGGACTGTGCGTGCTGGGCAGGAGTACTGCAGCACACCGTGTTGGGGGCAGGAATGGCGGGGGAGAGAGAGGTTGTGATGTCAATATCTGGAGTGGTACTGGGGCTTGATGGAGGAGATGCCTGCTTTTCTTATGATTTTTTTTTTGCTACAGGCCTCAGGAATATATCACAAGAACTCAGCTGATATATAACAAGCCAAATAACACCAAATGCTCCTTGGAATTTGGCTTCCTCTGAAGGAATTCCTTGATCCCTTCAGGCAGTGACTTTGCCATAACCAGCTGAGTTCTTATGATACGTTCCTACAGCCTGTAGCAATTTTTTCCATTTGAAACTGATGTATCGTGGGAGGAGACACTACTCCACTTCCATCCTTGCCTACATATTTCTAAGTCCAACGGCAGACTTAGAGCCCATCTGTACTTCGGCAGTGACTCATTGGGACTCTGTTGGGAGGAGACTCTGTTTCTTCCTCCACTTCATTGACTTTTATCACTACAGACTGAACATCTGCTTTATTCTATGGGTGTTAACGCCCTTCAGGATTTTGGGCAGACCTGATTAAATTGTCCAGAAAGGCTGAGCAGACCTTCACTTCCCTGGATACTGTAAGAGCCCACCACCAACTTTTGTGCCCACCACCCATCGCTTCTACACAGTGTGGTCAGTGAAGGAGGGGTCTGTCACTGCTGCTCAGCACTTTATTGCCAGCAGACAGTGTCTTCCCACACCATTCCTATCACTTCTCTTCTGTTCCCTCATAGAACACTGCAGTTTTTCTCTTGCCGTCTCTGTGTTTGTGATAAATGTAACAAAATAAAAACAACGCTGGTGTGTGTGTGCTGTGTGTCTGGACGTGTGCATGCAGCGGAGGGCAGGTGGAGCTGGTTCTCTCCTATTACTAACTTGAGTATTTTAATTTTGTGTTTGTGTGTTTGTGTGTGTGTGTGTGTGTGTGTGTGTGTGTGTGTGTGTGTGTGCCAGAGTACAACCTCGGATGTCATTCCTCAGGAGCTAGCTACCTTGTTTTTGGAGACAGGGTCTCTCAGTGAATGTGTAACTTGATAATTCAGCCAGGCTGGCTGGCCAGTGAACCCCAGGGATCTGTCTGTCTCCCATTAATCTGAGTGCTGGGTTTACAAATGCATGTTCCCCTGCCTGGCTTTATTTTATTTTATTTTTTCTTTTTCATGTGGGTTCTGAGATTGAACTCAGTTCCTCATACTGGCAAGACAAATGTGTTACTAACAGACCTATTCCCCTAACCCCTGAATTTAGATGCACATAAATTTTATAATTTTATACAATTTAACTGCAGATTCAGTCTTTATTTCTTCTATTTGTCTTTCCTAGATAACAAGAAATTCAGCTTGTTTTTTTAGATTACCAATGCACTTAATTCTTTTCCTTTTTTTCTTTTCTTTCTTTCTTCTCTACAAATTTCTTTTATTCTTCTGGAATACATTCTACCAGACTTTTTAACATCAAAGTGCTTCCTTATTTCAATGTGTTTACTCCAAGTTCAGGAACGTATGAAGATGAAATTTAAATCAGTAGAGAAATGCATACAGCTTCTAACAAATTTACACATGAACCCCTCGGAGGGCAAAGTGGAAGCTTACCTCAGGCTATTTATAAAAGCAGATTCCACATGGATATATTTACACTAGGAAAATATTTTTTAAGATTTATTTTATTTTTCATTATGTATATGTGCTTGTGCACAAGTGTGCAGGGGCTTGCAGAAGCCAGAAGAGTGTGGCAGATACCCTGGGGCTGGAGTTAAAGGTGACTGAACATTGCCAGGGCTGGGTAAACTCAGGTCCTCCACATGAGCAGAAAGTGCTCTTAACTACTGAGCAATCTCTCTAGCCTCATTAGGAAAGCATTTTTATCAAGAAAATATGAGCTCTGCAGCTCAGGCCCTCTGAATAGATGCACAGCAGGTTGTCTATGCCCCCATAGTTTGATAGCTGTGGGCAGGCATGAGATAGATAGATGTAAGGTCAGGAAGCTTTTCATCACACTGCTAGGACATCTTGCTGCCTCTGCCTTAGAGCACAGACTACGCATACAATGGCAAAAACATTTTACTTTTCACTACTCACAAGGCTTTGGTTATCTTTACCCAGACTCAAATACATACAAAAGCAAAACTTGTATTTGAATAAATTTAAATAAATAAGAATATAAAATGCAGGTTTGCAAACATGTACAATTACTAACATAAATACTAATTTACATGACATGTAGGCATAATAGAACATAATAGAACACATCAAAAAGAGGACTGTGACGGGGCCTGGGAGAGACTACAAAACTAAGTCATCAGTGATCGGCGTCAAAAGCGCCACAAATAAAACCTGCAGATGGTCCCAGTGGCGTCACTATAGCTGGAAGAAGCAGCTCTCCGGTCTCACGGAATGTGGTACTCCCGGAAGCACTTGGCATGGACACCCTTCTGGCACTTCTCACAGCCGGTGTTGGTCTGTGAGTGGCAGAGGGCACACTGGGTCCTCTTGTCCTGATGGACAATCCAGTGTCCAGTCATATCGAAGCGGCTCTCGGTTTCCACCGGGTCACACCCGGTGCAGCTGCCACGCATTGTTGAAGGCCGCGTCGATGATGTAGCTGGTGAAGCTCAAGTCCCACTTCACGCCGCGGATCTTCACCTTGTCCTTGGCGATGTTCTGGTCCATCTGGTCAACCTCTCTGGCCTTCTCCTGATAGAGCTTCTCCAGGGATGGCTGGTGGACCTGTGCCCCAGCTTTGGCTGCTCCCGGGTGGCGGCTGGTCTGTCTCACTGGCTCTGTGCCCACCGCATTGGAGCAGATATTCACCACGCGGCTGGTGTGCCAGCAGCACACAATGATCTCCTCGCTTTCGTCCACCTTCGAGTCAAACGAGCCCTTTCTCATTTTCCTCCGTTCTTTGGGATCCTTGAGGAGGTAACGCTCGGTTCTATACTCAAACAGTTCCTGTGGCCTTCACCCCTTTTTTCCTCAGAATGGACATCAGTTTGACGCTTGTGAAGACCTTATCAAAGAATACATGGTATGGCAGGGAGCCACATTCACAAATCTGACCACCATACTGCCTCCTATATCCAAGCCCCGGTCTAGCTTGGTGAATAGTGTGTGTGCCCTGTGAGGGCTCAAACCACACCAGGTAGCCTCTGCTGGTCATTCCACACCAGATCTTGTAGCCTAGCCGGACTCGCTTCCCTGAGTGCAGTTGCTTGGACCCCCGGTGCCCAAAGTATTCCCAGACGAATTCACCAAAGCTGTAGAACTCTTCCAGGGGAGCATGCTTCTGGAAGTTACAGTTCATATGGACAATGAGGGGCCTGACCTTGGCAAACCTATCGCTTTCATCGATTTCACTGTTATCTGCAAAACGCAGGTAGAAGATCAGCTCAAATCTGTCTCTTCTAATAACATCAGCCACAGGTGATGATGTGAGTCAGGAGCTGTCTCCCAAAACATTCATCTCCTTGGACAGGAGACATACCCACTTAAAATCAAGATGCCCAAAACACACTTCAGTTCCTGAGCTGTGAGATCCAGGGTGATATTTTCTACCGAGCATAACGGTGGTTGGTTTCATCAACAATGAAACTGTCCCGTCATCAAAAAACAGCTCAAAGAGGCCCACAGGACTCAGCTCCTTGGTTTTGAGGTCCTCTATATGAGGGTCTGAGGCTGTGCAGCTACCCGAAGTCTGGCTGGATATCTCTCTTGGTCCAAACGCGCTGGGGCTCCACTGCTGCCTTCCGCCTTTTCTTGGCTGCTTGCAGCTCTGGCTTGTCATAGCCCCCCCCTCCTCCTGGGGGTCTGAGTCCTCAGACACAACTGAAGCATACAGCACCCAGCCAGGCAGCTGGGCACCATTCCGGTCACTGTCTTCTTCCCCAGAATCCTCATCAGTGAAGGCCCTGGAGGCATTGTTGGGGGCGGGTGTGTGTGTGTGTGTGTGTGTGTGTGTACAACGACAATCTCCTCCTTGTTGCTGCTAAACCCATCCTCCTCCAGAGCGCTCAGGACCTCTAGTAGCTTAGGCGACCTCACCTGTGAGGGTGCTCCTCTCCTGGAAGGGCCACCCCTGCAGTGACAGAACAGTGAGGGAGAGAGGTCACGCCACGGAAAAGTAACTCAGCCTCATGGAGCTGGACCCATCAAGTGTAGCATCACAGCTGTGAGTCTTCCACATAAACAGAGTCGGCAGGAATGGAGGAGGGTTTATGTCAAGTACACACCGCGGGTACCCCCTTTCTACCGTCCCCCCTCCCTGACTGCCTTTTCTCTCCTCCACTCTCTCCTCTCTCCACTCCCTTTCTCCTTTATGCCTTCTGAACTGCTCAGTGAGGCTGGCAGGATGAAGGGATTTAAAAAGTCACTAACTAGGGCTAACTGTGCTCCCACGAGCACTGTATCCGTCCCTTCCCGTGAGTCTGAAGCCATCACAACCTGGGAAGAGAGGATGTCCTTCTTCAGGGTCTAAGAGCCTGTAAGACAACGAAAGTCAGTGTTTTTAATGAGCAAAGCCACAGACTCTTTACCATTTAAAGGGACAGTTCCTGCTTAAGGCTTGCCAATGAGAAGGATGGGACCCACACAGGAAATAGTATCAACTGGCTGTCCCATCTCAGAGCACAAACCAGCATACATTCTAAATCAGTGTGGCTCACCGACACAACTGTGGACATTTGGGGCTAGATTAGTCTTTGCTGGTGGGGGTGGAGGGAGAGTCAGCCCCCTGCATCATCCCTGGTTTCTGCTCACTAGGCACCTGTAGAATACCCAGCCTCCGTAACTGCTGAAATACAGAATTTCCAGGGGCTGAAAAGACTGGGCAAAAGGCTTACTTACACAGGCCTGGCGACTTGAGCTTGGTCCCTGGAACACACGTGACGGTAGAAGGAAAGAAATGAGTCCACAAAGTTGTTTTGACCACCACACATTTGCCTTGGCACTTACCTGTCCCCCACCCCCACCCCCGGCACAATAACAACATAACAAAAATATCCAGACATTCCGACATGTTCTCTGGGCTGGGGACACAAAATTACCTGATTTTCTGTGGAGATGGAACTGTTCTGCTTCAGAACTATCCAAATCAGGCCACAAGTAGCTACTGGGCATTTGAAATATGGCTGAAGATGCTGAATTTTTCATTTAAATAGCCACATATGGTCAACGTACTAGACAAATTCTAAGTATATTAAGAACTAATTGTGGGGGCTCAGTGGTTCAGAGCACTTGCTGCTCCTCCGAAGAACCCAAGTTTGGTTCCCAGTGCCCGAACCAGGCAGCAGCTCACAAGTGCCTGTGACTTCAGCTCCAGGGAGTGTGACACCCCCTCCTGGTTTCCACAGCACTTGCACACACGGCAAACACATACATTTTAAAAACTTTAAAAACTAACCATGAAAAAACCAAAATTTTAAAGTGTTTATTTATAAGTATTTTATTTTTTTGAGGCAAGGTCTCATGTGATCCAAGGTTAAACTTGAACTCACTTTGTGGCTGAGAGGTACCTTGAACTTCTGACCCCTTTGCCTCTACCTCCCAGTGCTGGGATTACAAACATGTGCTGCCATGCTGTTAAACTTTTTGTTTGTCTTTTGAGACAGGGTCTCTCTATATAAGCCTGGCTGTCTTGGAACTCACAATGTAGACCAGGCTGGTCTGGAACTCACAGAGATTTGCCTCTCTCTGCCCCCTGAGTGCTGTTGGGGGGACAAAAAGTGTAAACTTTTAAAGAATGAATGAAAATCAGTATAGAGGAGGGCTTTTTTTGTTTGTTTGTTTTTTAGAATGAAAAATTAAACATCCTTGGCCCTTCTACAAATCTGTAGTAGGCAGCCTCTATGAGAACCCCCATGGTCCTCACGCTCCTGGTGTCTATGCCCTGGTGTGAGCATGGGGACCACATGACCTACTACTTCTGGCAATCAGAATAGGGCCGTGTGGTGAGATGTCACCCCTGGGAACCTCTGAGGAGAGGCCACAGAGAGACTGGCCTGGTACACTGCCTCTGTCTGTCTCTACCACTCACTTTGAGGGAAGCCAGCTCCCACAGCTAAGCTGTCCTATAAGAAAGACCTGTGGGGCAGGAAACTGAATCTTGTCCCTAGCCAACAGCCAGAGATAACCGAGGCCCTGACTCTAATACTGAACAGGGACCCAACTCCGGAGGAACTGTGAAGACAATGACCGGCAAATTCTGTTGTATTTACGTCATGACACAGCTCTCAGTGGCAGAGAGCTTGCTCAGCATGTAGGAAGGCCCAAGCGTATCCCCTGCACAGCAGAATAAATAATAATAATGCTGAATTTAAAAATAAAGTAAGAACTTCCTTTTTTATCAAGTGACAGTCACAAATGGAAGTTATCTGCAGCAAATGTAAAATATTTATATTTTGGCATTATAAAGAATCTAGAACATGCAGCGGGAAAATTCCAGTAACTATCAAAAACAAACAAACAAACAAACAAATCAACAATACAATTAGAAAATGGACAAAAAGATTTATGGGGACAAAAGAAACATAAATGTGAAAACACATTTAATTTCCACTACTCAGGAAATGAAAATTAAAACCACAAGATATCATTTTGGAGGTACAAAATCCGGGAAAAACAAACAAACACGCTAAAGGCCGGCATGACCAGGACGAGAAGCAGATTTGAGAAGCTTGAGTCCAGAGACTGCAAGACCACTGAAGAGTGAGGGACGCTAGCCGTGCAAGCTGAACATCGAGCACCTGACTGAGCCGAAATCCATTCCACATATTTAAGGCAGGGTTTTCCAACCCCGCATAGGAGCTAGACAATTCTTTGTGTGTGTTTGGGGCGGGCCTCGCAGTTGTGCAGTTGTGGGAGCCAGGAAGCTGTCTTGTCAATTTCAGGGTGCTCAGCATGTCCTGCACTTGCCACTAGGGGGCAGCAGCATCCCGACGACAGCTGCGCAGACCCAGAGCGTCTCTCCCTCATCACACACACCTTCAGGGAATCCTGGCCTAGAGGGAGTACTGCTCTATGCTCAGGAATGCTCATGGCAGGACAGGAAGCCAGAAGTAGCCCTAATGGCACACAGAATGGATGTAATGGATTCGATAGGAAAGGAGCAAATCTCAGCCACACAAGTCACTAATGATTCTGAAAAAACACCAGGGTTGGAAATGATGTAATTCCAGCACTTGGGAGGGTGAGGCAGGAGGATCATCATGAGTTCAGGGCTACACAGTGAGAACAACAAGCCAACCAACAAACAAAAAACGACCTCTTGCCTGTTACAAGGACCAAAACATTAAACAAAACCAGAATCATATTCTCTGGAAACACATACAGATCCACAGTGAAAACATCATGAAAATGATTAAGTAGAACTTCAGAACTGAGCCTCTATGGACTGGCTGGTTTTGTGTGTCAACTTGACACAAGGTAGAGTCATCAGAGAGGAAGGAGCCTCAGTTGAGGAAATGGCTCCATGAGATGCAGCTGTAAAGCATTTTCTCGTTTAGTGATCAGTGGGGGCTGGTGGTCCTGGGTTCTACGAGAAAGCAGGTTGAGCAAGCCAGGGGAAGCAGGCATGTAAGCAACAACCCTCCATGGCCTCTGCATCAGCTCCTGCCCCAAGGATCCTGCCCTGTTTGAGTTCCTGTCCTGACTTCCTTTGGTGATGAACAGCAACATATAAGTGTAAGCCAAATAAAGCCTTTCCTGCCTAACTTGCTTTTTGGTCACGGTGTTTCATCACAGCGATAGAAACCCTAACTAAGACACTCTAAGAGAAAGGTGCAATCAAGGCAACCCCCAGGGCACTAGACGTTGAATCAGGATCAGTTTCCTTTGAAATGACATTTACTTATGGGGGTAGGGAGGGGATACACACCCATGGTGCACATGTGGAGGTCAGAGGTCAACTTTTGAGTCTCAGTTCTGTCCTCCCACCATGTGGATCCTGGGAATCAGGTTTGGTGGCAAGTGCCTTAACCCATTGGGCCGTCTCATTGGCACAGAAGCACTACTTCTGTTTCAGGACCCTTTCAACGGCTCCCTTCTTCCTATTCAATTATGTGCCTTTTACATAAATGCACAGCATAGGGACACCTACAGAGAAACACATGTGACCACATCGAGTCATACTGCCCAGCAGGAAGACTGCAGCCCCATACAAGAGGGGAAGGGTACATCAACCTGCTGAGAGATTTCACCAAGGTTAAAGATGACAAGTACCTAGAGTCACCTCCCCACTCAACAGTCTATACCCTTTGGAGAGGAATCTCCTCAAAGTCCACAGGAAAGTGTGTACCTTCTGTCTTCACTGTTCTAAGCAACTGCCAGGCCTGTAGGGGAGACCTGGGTCTTCCAGTTCTACGCCCATCCACACACACATGAGCCTGGTGGAAATGTGGAACACGGAGCCACCAGCGAGAAGCTGTGCAATCTTGACAAGTCATTCACGTCATCTGGGCAAATGGGATCACTTTGGTCCCCACTTTCCCCGGGCTGTGAAAACAGGGAGTCTGTGTGTAATGAAGGACGATGGGCGTGGCTTCCCAGTGCAGGGGACTGCTTCAGATCCCACCTCTCCCACGCAATGACAGAAGTCAAAAGTGCTTTGAAACCTGAGCATGCCACGAACTCTTTGGCATCACATCCTGAGCAGACTTAAGGCTCTTTATTATCTCTACTCCCTCCCATAACTTGCTTTAGATAGGTAGTCATGTTTGCCTTGAAACACTGTTTGATGAAGACACACTGTTGTACTTTGGGGTGAATTTGATAAGAGATATCTGACCTTTTCCCCACTTCCAGTGATGTCTGGGGCAGGGAGTGTGCCCTGCCTTCTATTCATTAGCTCATGCCTTTTCCTCTGCTGGGCCCAAGGCAGGCCTCATTTACTTACCAACAGGCTGCCTGGCAAGCCCCAACCAGCCATTCTGCCACAGCCTGTCCCAGACACCTGCCCAGGCACAGTTGAACCAGGCTTGAGAGTGACAGTCCTGTGGGCTTGGGAGGGACACCTGGCCTAGCCTTATAAATGTGTTTGTTCTTAGGATTTATGGACAGAGCCACAAAAGGCTGCCCAGGATGGAAGCCCAGAGTAAATGAGAAGACTCTTGAGGAAGGAGTCTTTAAAGACTAGTGGAGGTGATGGAAGGGAGGGGTAGAATCCTGCAAAGCACAGGTCAGCTCGAAGGGCAGGAGACGGGCAGATGGGGTGGAGGGCAGAATTGTTCCAAGACCCAGTGGCCATTCTTAACTGGTGAGGCTTGAAACCTGGAGCCTCAGGGACCATTCTGAAAGATCTTGGGGGAAAGGAAATCAGCAACAGTGCTGTTTAATACATAAACTTATCTAAGGAGACAGGGCATCTTAATATAATTAGAGCCCCCACCCCCTGAACAAAAAAATCCTTAAGATGAGTAGAGATTTAAACAAGGCCTGTACAACTGTGTTGTTCTGTTAAAGAAGATGGTTATTTAGTGGAGGGCTTGAAGTAATCTGGGTGAGTTAAAGACAGATTTTTTTTTAAAAACTTGTTTTGCAACATTTTTTTAAATTGTAAGAACAATTTAAAATAAAATTTTATTTTAGGGCTAGGACTAAACTGGTAGAATGGTAGAATCAACTGGTAGAATGCTTGCCTAGCATATACAAAGCCCTGGGCTCCATCCCCAGCACTGAATAAACCATGCTTGGAGGCAAATATCTGTAATCCCAGAACTCAGGAGGTGAAAAAGAAGGATCAGAAGTTTAAGGTCACCCTGAGCTACATAAGGAGTCTGAGTCCAACCTGGTATCTGACAAACGGAACAATAACAAAAAATAATTTTAAAGTGTTTTATACCATCAATTATATATTTTTTCACTATCAATTACAAATAAGAAAGAACTAGCCGGGCGGTGGTGGTGCACACCTTTGATCCCAGCACTCAGGAGGCAGAGGCAAGTGGATCTCTGTGAGTTCGAGGCCAGCCTGGTCTACGGAGTGAGTTCCAGGATGCCCAGGGCTGTCACACAAAGAAACCCTGTCTCAAACAAAACAAAACAAGCCCTCCAAAACAAACAAACAAAAACTCAAAAAAAAAGACGAAGAAAAAATTATGACTATGAAGCTAGAAAAACAAAAGTGTGGACCCTGAGAAGCTCCAGAGCTTCAAACAGCTGTTTCAAGCGTACAGAAGTTTATTGAGATATACAGACTTTAGAACCCGGCTAGTGTTTGTTGAGTGGCTACCTTAATATAGCTGTGTGATTATTTTTTGTGGGTTTATTACAATAAAGTGATTTTTTTTTCAAGACAGGGTTTCTCTGTGTAGTTTTGGTGCCTGTCCTGGATCTCGCTCTGTAGACCAGGCTGGCCTCGAACTCAGAGATCCACCTGGCTCTGCCTCCCGAGTGCTGGGATTAAAGGCATGTGCCACCACTGCCCAGCAATAAAGTGATTTTTATTTATAAAAGCATTTTGTAAATACAAATGCCTCAACCCTAAGCCATGTTCAAGGATCCAAGAGTTTGGTTGACATAAGCACCTTCCTTTTTAAAAATTTCTGTATCAAAGAAAACAAGGGGCTAGGCACAATAGCATCAACCTATAATGCCTATAATGCCAGCCCTCAGGAAATCAAGGCAGGAGAGTTGAGAAGAGTTCAGCCTGGGCTAGCAGGTGAGACCCAGTCTCAAAACAATAACAGAAAAAAGGGAAGAGGAACAAGGACCCTTGGCTACCGAAAAGCAGACTTAAACCAAGCCTGATACGCTTCACCTCACCCTTAAGGGACATCACTTAAGACATACTCCCCATTCATCATCCTGACCCAAACTCCATCCTCTCCCTTCACTAGACCCATCCCGACCCCGCCCACTTTAGATAGACCCTTAGCCTGACCCCGCCTTCTTGCCACACCCCCAACTCAGTGAGAAAGCTCTCGCCCCGCCCACAATCCAATTCATCCTCGCCAGACTCCGCCCCATCCAGCCGTCCCCACCCTCCATCCCACCCCACTTCAGCCTGCTACACCCATGCTACCGCCCATGCTACACCCACTCCTGCGGGGTCTCCAGGACTCTGTCGGTCCCGCCTTTGACTTCGCCCACAGGTCATCATCCATCCACGGCGACCTGGCTCGTCCCCTGCCCAGCCGGCCCCGCCCTCAGGCCTGTCGCCGCAGCGTCCCCTGGCGGCACTCGGAGCTCAGCGTTCGCCGGCTCATTGTCCTGGTCTGGGTCCCGTCAGCCCCCTTTCCACGCACAAGCAATGACGGCGAACGGCATGGGCGCTGCTGGGGAACGCATCAGGACCCGCCGCTGCCGCCGCACTAAAGCCAGAAGCTTGCCTGGAGCGCCCACCGGGCGACACCTACCTGGGCGGCTCAGATCGCAGCCGCCACAGCTGCAACCAAGTCTGGACCCACCTCTACACCACGCCCCCGACTCGGCCGAGCCCCCAGGACAGCCACGCCCCCTAGCCTAGCCATCCTGGATCTTTAAGAGCACAGGCCTCCCGGGCATCTAAAGAGGATGGAACGTGCCTCTGAGATCCCGGCTACCTGCGGTGCTGGCCCATGAGCTTCCTCAGCACTTCAGAGTCCAAATACCTTTTTCTCTAGCTCAGGCAATGATGCTCACACCTAGACTCATACTGCCTATAGCATCACCGGGGGAAATGGCAGAACTGTTGATCCTGGACCTCGGTCACACTTCGGACCTGGAAGTGTCAGCAAGCCTTGCAAGGCTTTGGAGGTGACTGTGAAGAAAGCGAATGTAGACCGCTATTGGCGGTTCTCTCAACCCTCATACTCAAAACGTTCCCGCTTGGGTAATTATTCCCTGTGAGGAGCTGCTCTCTTCATTATAGGTAGGGTTGCCGGATAAAATACAGTGAGATTTGTTTTTCAGACAGCTGTGAGTCCCCATAGCTCATCTGGCAACACCGTTGGTTTG